TTTGTACACAGGGTGACTATGAGTCACAGGCAACTCAATGGCACATTACAACAGCAACACTGCTCACCAACGCAGGGTGCAGATGTGTTTTTTGTAGACTGGGTTATGTCATTGACCATGGTGTCCCCCAAGACTGAGCTCCCAGGTCCAGTGACTCATTCCTTCAAAATGTTTGATTATAGGTAAGAAAATGTCATTGTTTTGCCCCCTGTGTGCTCTATTATGTCCATGGCTCTCTGATGGCCTAGTGGTAAGGAGTTGCATTGTAAAACCAAAGGAACATAGTTCAAATCCATCAGTTGCTCCTTGAGAGAAAGATGGACAGTCTCCTCCCATGCATTTTACAGCCTGTGAAAACCTGCTGGAGGGTCAGCTATGAGCTTCACCGGAGGAGATTGCCCATCTTTCTCCCTTGGAGCCGCTGGTAGATTTGAACCACCACAGAGGTGCTATGAATCAGTTCTGACTCAACTCCACATAACAATAACAACATACATGGATCTATTTAAAGTATGTAAAGATACAAGAGTAAAAATATAATCTGCTAAATTTATGTGAAGGGATCTCTGGTAGCCTAGCGGTAAGAATCTGCGCTGCAATCCTGAAGGTACAGGGTTTGAATCCACCAGCTTCAGCTGGAGAAACATGGTCAGTCTCCTCCTGTGTGATAAACTGCCTCTGAAAACCCGCCGGAGGGTCGGCTATGGGTCGGTTCCCACTGGATGACACACAACAGCAACAAACGTGTTTAAGGGTGCTCTGTAACCCCAAGGCAGCGCTTCTCTGGAAGTACAGATCTACCAGCAGCTCCAAGGGAGAAGTAAGGGCTTTCTCCTCTGGTGAGATTTGTACATCCTTGGCAAACCAACGAGAGTCAGCTAAAAGTCAGTTCCAAGTCAGTGGGAATAAGGTGAGTTGAAACCTGTCTGGTTGCGAGTACAGTGCAGTCTCATTCACTGACATGTACCTGTTCACTCACATGTGAGCCCACGTATCCACTGGTAGGTTAATGTCTATAATTCCTGATAATTCCCTATTGTAGATGCAAATAGTACTTACCTTTGTTGTCTGTAACTCTTAGGCACTGCTTTCCTTTCCTTTAATAATAGTAAATTGCTAATATTATTAGTGCTGTCCACTCCTTTGTATATTACCTTGCGTTAAAAATCATCCTCTTTTAAGTGTACAGGATAGTAGCATTTGGTATATTCACAAGACGGTGCCACCATCATCGTTATCTGACTTCAAAATATTTCCATTGCTCCAATTATCCACCATATACCCATCAGCAGCTACTTCCCATTCCTCTCAGCCCTTAGCAATCACTGATCTCCTTTCTCTCTATGGTTTGGATGTTCTGGACTTTTCACATGGATAGAATCAGGTGATAGGTGGTCTTTCTTTTGTAAATAGTTTCTTTCACTGAGTGCAACGCTTTCGAGATTCATTCGTGTTGAATCAGAATTCAATTCCCTGTATACCTGAG